ATTCGTCCCGCATTAAGCAGTATCGGATCGTAAGTATTTTTGCAAAAGATTTGCTTGGCTCGTTTTCTCAGCCGCCTCGCCACAATTTTCTTTTACATAGGAATGTGCCCGCGACACAAACATGAATTTTATCTGAGACACTTCCTGCCATTCGGCGTGAATCGACCCGATATAATGGCAATAACTGTGCCTCACGACGAATCAAGTGAGACGAGCCTTTGAATGAGATCTGTTAGTCCGAGTGCAGGATACGAAGGAGGTGCAATCATTAGAACAACAAGTATATCAGCCTGACGTTTTGGATCCTCACTCGAACCCATCACCAGAGACGGCTGACCTTCATCTTCAACCCCCTTTGGTGATGGGTTGGGGAAGTGTCCCGAACTTCAGACAAATTACTTAGTGTTCTAGTTATCGTATCTTTTTCTAACACTCCTTTGTTGTGCATGAAATCGCACTGAGTGAAGCTAACTAGGGGTGTGTGGGAACGCATAGTTTTCCTGAACTGTACAATCATAACCGTTATCCACGCCAAAATTAGACAATGACCAGTTTTCAACTTGCATAACCGGGTAGCATGTATAACATGTATTGTGCCCAATATGGTGCTCTTCTATACAATAATTGTAGAATTTTAGGTGCGCGTTCAATCCACGTGCCAGTGATATTTTCAGGGTTCCCGTTAACGTGTCCATTGAATGCGTTTGCCTAAACCTGATTTTTGAAATCCTCCATGATATGACTGCATCTACGAATCTATTATTTGTTCATCTGTGCAACGGAATATTCTACAAAATGACCCCTCTTTCGTCCTCCAGTAGAAGGCGTTAGCTCCAGTTTAAACATGTTTTCTTTATTTGTGATCCGAAAATCTAGAAAAATGTAATCATCGCAAAACACAGAAACCCAGGTTAAACTTCTAATATCCTCACTTCATGATCCCTGTTCTCACATATTAATCCTTCAAACTAAATTCCTGATGAGGAGGACGCCATGTTCGAAGTAAACTCCCTCGGTGACGAGAAGGCGAATGTTTAAAGTCGACAACTGAAAATGCACTCGCCTAGTTTTCCAGAACACAGTGAAGACAGACGGACCACCCCTCAGAGTGACTCTCGGAATATCGCCTTTGCACATTCAGACATCTAGGCTGTAATCCCAGCTCGTTAGCAGAGCCACTGAGGTGCACGTGAAACACGAGTCGTTTTTAAAACTCGCCTCCCAATAAGTTATAGGCTGAAACAACTTCTTTCCAGCCTATGCCCACTCAATCTCGCCTGTAATGGAAGTGGAGGACAGGACTGGCCTGTTGGCCGCGTGGGGCTTAAAAGGATTTTCATCACTTTGACTTCCTCTCAACTAACCGGTGACCCCACCCCAGTTCATGGCTTACAGAAAGTGAAACTCTTCTTTAACATCGTCCCTTCTCTACCCTCGCAGGACATTTGGGATTGAGTTCTCACAGCGATTAAAACGTGCATTTGGCTGCAATCGATTTAACACCCTGCGTTGAGACCTGTCTGTCTGAGTCATGGGTTAACTGCATGGAGCGTGGTCAGGTCACTGGAAGGCTGGCCTACGTTTAGCCAGCATTCTCTCGCTCCTACTCCCCCACTCTCCTCCTTCTCCGCCTACATATGAAGCTACTGGGAAATACCGATCACCCAAAACACTAAAAAACCTTCAGCTATCATTCGGTTTCCCGCTGGTTGCGGCTGCGACACCCATTTGAAGGAAAACAGGAGTGCAGATCAGCACGGTGTACTACTGGCCTTTATGACTGAATAGTATCCCTCTCACGTATGAAATCATATTCAGCAACAGTCTACAATCTTGCCCGGTTTACGGCGCACGTTCAGGCCTCCTCCTTTAAACTTACTTTTCGGACTCACTTACATAAATGACTTCACTGAAGTTTAATTAAAACACGCCAGATGTGAACACACGGCGAGACCACAATCTTGTTTTCTTTACACGGGTCCCACAACTCCTATGTTTAATACCACATTAGAAATAGTAAGGGATTTCGTATCTGAAACAGAAAGGCGTCATACACAGCATCTGGGCGTATTGTGCTGCAAATAGGCCCAGTAAGCTAGCCATTGTGCTTTTGCAATGACTGCTCTTTTCCATGTCGACGCCTGATTTTCTTTGTTAGATTCCTTCAGAGTTCTCTCACGGAGATTGGGGAAATTGAACTTCGCCATATGCAAAGAAACAGGTCCTTGAGGCTGGAAAATAATGTTTGCCTCTGCATTCGCACTGACGTTGGCCAGTTTTAGACTGACTGTCTCCATAGTTGCTACATCCCGTAAAACGCTGATCTACATATAGAACGCATGAAGGAACTCTACACTGCGCTTTCTTACCTTTCTGGCAAAATGCAGATTGATGGCGGGAAAAGTGATTTTGCAAGAAAACTGGGCAAATGAACCCTCGTAGAATGCTTCCTTAAAGACGCAATCGTCGCTGAGTCCTGGAATGTCGAAGGTCATTGAGAAGACTGTTTCGCTGTAACCGTCGTAGGGAACAGTAATCGTTATTTCCGAAAGACGATCCATGCTAAGTTGCACAAAGTCTGTCAAGTAAATTCCACCATTGTGACGAGGACATTTTTCTTTGTTTTCGGGTTATTAAATGCAAAAAAGCATTATTGTGAAAGACGTCTAAGAACGGGCAGCGCTTGACATTTAACCAGACATATGGATAATACATTCTGCAGCCGATAAATAAAACAGTGCAAGGTTTTCGATATGTGTAGTATAAATATTATACAGTAGGTAGAATAGAGTGTGATGTATAGAGCTGATTTGTGTTCACAGATGAGGTTAATTTGTTAGTGGTCTGAATAATTACATTTGACTGGAATGTCTTAGGAGAGCTTTCGACACGTACCGGGGCGCGTGAAGCAGGTCTGACAGAGAAGAGGAAAATGGAGAACTAGAAGCAGAGTTAGGCTCCAGTGCATGATGAGTGCTCTGTCGCACGGCCTAATCTCTAATGATGACATGAGATCTCTCGACTTGAACAGAGCTGGTTGTCAGTCCCTGATTGGTCCTACGGCCTCCCAACTTGGGTGCAGTCTCCTTTTATGCTTTTGCCTCTTGCGATGAACTAGCTCACCGGCCCTAAAACCCTCGTGAATGAACTTATGGCCTTTTGGCTTGTTCGTCTTTGCTTACTCGCATACTACCAGGGGTTTAACCTTCCACCCCTCCGTCTGTCTAATGCGTAGATACGTGAAGTAATTATAAATAGGCTATGACACGAAAGATGAAATTAATGCATATATATAGCTGTGAAAATGCAAATATCCCAGGCGTTCGAATCATATTTCATGCCTTGATGTGAATTTCGGATGGTCAGCTTGCCCAAGGATCTCCAAGTGGTGGAGAGCAAGTCTGTGCCCTGGACAGGGTGAATTAGAGGCAATCACAAACAGTTCATATGCTAACTCATGAAATATTAACCGAAAGACAAAAGTGCGTTCTCGACTCGAAAGTCGTGTTGCAATATTAATCAACGCGCGGCAGAATGCCATCATAATCCAGTTACCACAGGCTAGCGACTTTTGAATGAACCCCTTTTCTCCCGCCTACCTACCTAAAAACCATGAATTTTTCTATTGATTTTCGATGTCTTCATAGATTTAAGTATATTCAATAGAAAAGACACAAAAATATTCATTCTTTTACTCATTTGCTATAAAAGTACATCTACTTCAATATTACATCTAAAAGGCAGGGTATAATTCGGTTTTAAAATCTTTTCCAGTTCTCGCTCGACCTTCAACCCCACCAGCATTTTTTGCTGAACCAGTTATACGGCATAGTAACCTTCATGTATGTCAACCGTCACCCGTGCTATTGCATTGTGCGAAATGTACGGTCCAGATGAAACCGACGGTGGACACGCAATCCCCACGGCACTCAGAACATACGGATCAATTTCCAGCTGTCTGACGCGCTTCCAAAATACAACAATGTGCCAAATGACATGGCCTGGAATGCTGCCACCGGACGGGATATTTCGGTCTGCTCAGAACAGATATTTATGAAATAACAACACCCTTTTAGTGTGGTTTACATGACAGTCCCACTTAGTAAGGATAGGGACCGACGCTTTATGTGTGTGTAGGGGTGTCCAGCGGTGGGTTCACGTGATGGTCGAAGTGGTCGCTCAATAGCTTGCAGGTGCAGACTACGCCTAGCGTCCATTTGTTGGAACCCATCCCTCACATGTGGCTCCCCGAACCTGGGCTCAGCTCATCGGCCACACCCCGGTAACCGCCTCGGCCGGCGAGATAAACCAAGTGAGGGTATCCGTGTGTGTATCTCCGCCGCAGTCGCCAGACCGGAGGCGACCATCAGGCGTCTGGTCATGAAACCGAAAGACCCACTGCCACGGCTAGAAATGTCTGGAGTCGTTTATCGGATCTGGTGCAGTTGCGGACAAAGTAAATACGTCGGAGAAACCGGAAGACAGCTCCGAACGAGAATGGCCGAACACGCTGCAACGGTACAGAGAAATGATGCCAGCTCTCATGCTGCGGCTCGTTAGACGAAATACGGGAACACATTCAAATTCGATGAGGCCGAAATTCTCGCAAGAGGTGAAAACCGCGTAAGACGGGAGCTACTGGAATCATGGTTTAGTGGCCCCCAGTCTATTAAGAAGTGCAATGATCTTCCACCCAATGCACCGTGCTTAGACTTTGTCTTGGCGGAGTAATCGGCCACGCGCGGAGCGCACTGGTAAACACTATTCCCAACACCCGGGTCAGCGCGTCAGATGGTCGAGAAATCATCACGCCAACATCCAACGCACGTGATGAAATTGCAACAATTAACGACGCGAATATCGGCCATCACGCCACGTCCAACGATCCCTGATGAAGGGGTGGGAGCCGTGAATATTCATAGGTATGCTGTATCATGGCTACTGCATCCTATAAATACTGCAGTCGCATTAACCACCCTCATCTGTTTTTGTCTCTGATGATGGATTCGAGCAGGAATCCGAAACGCCAGGATAATAAAGCTCTTGTCCCGGCGATTGTGTCTTCTTCTTCACGACCGCTTCCTGGAACTCGTCTCTTCGCTTCTTTTGACACGGACAAGTTGATTGTCCTTGGTGACTTCAACGCCCTCATCGGCACAGACCATGCTGCCTGCAGTGGAGTGCTAGGTTCCCATGGTCTCCGCGGCATTAAGGACAGCGATCTGCTGCTCCTCCGCACCTGCGCAGAACACCGCCTTATCCTGACGAACACCTTCTTCTGTCTGCCGGAGCGAGAGAAAGCCACCTAGAGGCATCCTCGGTCGCGTCAGTGGCACCTGCTGGACTATGTCCTCGTCCGGAGGCGAGATCAGCGGGACGTGATGGTGACGAAGGCGATCGCGGGTGCTGACGGGTGGACCGACCATCGCCTCGTCATATCGAAGATGCGTATTCGCCTACAGCCTCGCAGGAGACCACAAGGTAAGAGACTCCCAGGTAAGCTGAATTTTGCTTTGTTGTCTTTGCCCGCTCACCGTCTTCATTTCAACAATGAGCTAGCTCAACGGCTTGACAATTTTCCTATCGCTGCCGCCGCCGCCGACGCCGCCGCTGCCGAGAACGCCTCCGTGGAGAACCGCTGGTGTCAACTGCGAGACACGGTCCAGGCGGCGACGCTCGCCGTCCTCGGTCGCGCTCCCCGACAACACCAGGACTGGTTCGACGACAACGACGCCGCCATCAGAAATCTGCTTGCTGAGAAGAACCGCCTACACAAAGCCTACGTAGATCACCCCACTGAGAACAACAAAGCTGCCTTCTGCCGCAGTCGCCGCCAACCTCATCAACGACTGCGCGAGATGCAGGACGCCTGGACTGCTCACAAGTCTAAAGAGATCCAAGGGTACGCGAAACGCAATGAGCGGAAGAAATTCTTCTCCTCGATCAAAGCTGTCTACGGTCCGCCGACGAAGGGCATTGCTCCTCTCCTCAACGCCGACGGCAGCACTCTCCTGACTGAGAAGACGCAAATCCTTCAGCGATGGGCCGAGCACTTCCGAGGCGTCCTCAACCGCCCTTCCGTCATCTCCGAAGCCGCCATCGCCCGCTTGCCGCAAGTGGCGACCAACGTGGACCTCGACCTCCTGCCATCTCCTCAGGAAACCATCAGGGCCGTGCAGCAGCTCTCCAGCGGGAAAGCACCAGGATCGGACGCAATCCCTGCTGAGGTCTACAAGCACGAAGGTCCCCAACTGATGGATCCCCTGACTGCGCTCTTCCAGGAGATGTGGCGTCAAGTTGAAGTCCTGCAAGATTTCAAAGACGCAACCATCGATCATCTCTACAAGCGAAAAGGGAACCGCCAAGTCTGCGACAATCACCGTGGCATCTCCTTGCTGAACATCGCCGTGAAGATCTTCGCTCGCATCCTCCTCAACCGCCTGATTAATCACCTAGAACAGAGTCTTTTACCGGAAAGCCAATGAGGCTTCCGTCGTCATCGCGTGACCATGGATATAATATTATTCGCCCGTCAGCTACAGGAGAAGTTTCAGGAGATGCGGACTCACCTGTACTCTACCTTTGTGGACCTGACGAAAGCCTTCGACACGGTGAAACGTGAAGAACTGTGGAAGATCATGCAGAAATTCGGCTGTCCGGTGCGATTCACTCAGATGGTTCGTCAGCTGCACGACGGTATGATGGCGCGAGACACGGACAACGGAGATGTCTCAAAGACATTTGCAGTGACCAAGGGGATGAAGCAGGGATGTGTGCTGGAACCCACCCTCTTCAGTCTTATACTGAAGGACGCCTACAGCGACGAACGCCCTGGGATCCGCATCGCCAACAGGACGGTCGGTCACCTGCTGAATCAACGGCGGATACACTTCCAATCGCGCGTATCCACAACCACCGTTCACAAACTACTCTTCGCCGACAACTGCGCCCTTAACACCACATCGGAAGAGGAGATGCAACGGAGCATAAACCTGTTCTCTGTCGCCTGAGAGAACTTCGGTCTGGTCATCAACACGCAGACGACGGTGGTCATGCATAAACCACCACTCAACACAGCCATTCCTCCCAACGTGCTGTCACCGCAAATTCGTGTGAACGGAGCCCAACTGCAAGTGGTGGAGAACTTCCCGTACCTGGGCAGTGCTCTCTCCCGCAACACCAAGATCGACGACAAAGTCGCCAACAGGATGTCGAAAGCCAGTCAAGTCTTCGGTCGCCTCCAAAGCACAGTTTGGAATCGTCATGGTCTCCAAATGAGCACGAAACTAAAGATGTATAAGGTCGTCATGCTGCCGAAGCTGCTGTACAGAGCGGAGACATGGACAGTGTACACGAAGCAGGCACGTCGTCTGAACCACTTCCACCCCAGTTGTCTTCGTCGCATCCTGAGGCTGAGGTGGCAGGATCACATCCCCGAAACGGAAGTACTGGAACGAACGGGAATCCTCAGCATCTACGCCATATTGAGGCAAATTCAGCTGCGCTGGAGCGGCCACCTGGTGCGCATGGACGACGAGCGACTACCCAAACGACTCTTCTACGGAGACGTCGCGAATGGTTCTTTCCGCCAAGTAGGCCAAATTCGACGATACAAGGATGCACTGAAGTCTTCCCTGAAGGGTCCGCAAATTAATCCGACCAACTGGGAAAACCTCGCCCGCTATCGACTGAGATGGAGAAGGACAGTGATTACAGGTGCTGCGATCTATGAAGCCAACCGCATCGCCGCCGCCAAAGTGAAACTCTAAGCACGCAAATCCCAGCTGCGCCTAGTACGCAAAGCCGACGCACAACCGCTTGCAACGTGTCCTTGGTGTCAACGGACATTCCGGGCACAAATTGGACTTATTGGAGACCTTCGAATCAACTGCACCTCTCGGACTGCACCAACTGTCGACCCTCCGCTCGCGTCTTTCTCGTCATCTCCGCCGCCAACTAACTCTGACCGCTCTTCCGAACCACCACTTCCATCCTCCTCCTCAACTGCCCCACCGACGTCCGCCCTGGCGGCTGTCACGCTCGACAGCACCACACACATCACCCCCACAACCTCCTCCTCCTCTCCGCCGCCAAATAACCCTGACAATTCTTCTGACCCACCACTTCCATCATCCTCCTCCTCCTCCTCCTCACCCACTGCTCCAACGGCGGCTGCTCAGGCGACTGTCCCGCGCACAGCAACCGACACTACCACCACCTCCCCCGACTCCAGGGATGAGGATCAGGACTACACCTGCCCTCACTGCGACCGTTCCTTCACCTCACACATCGGCCTGGTCGGTCACTTGCGAATCCATCGCACTGAGACTCGCGAACCACTGCGTGAAGCACCAACCTACACCCACCGCACCCGCCTCCACTGCCCACACTGCCCTCGTAACTTCACGCATCACATAGGCCTATTCAGTCACATGAGCATCCACGAAGACCTTTGGTAGACAACCGCTGGTTAAACCACAAAACAACACACACCCGCCCTGCCTCCTCCACAGCCACCATTCCATCACGCATCAATACTCACCCACCGTCAGCACCCAAATGCAACCTCCAACGCAATTAGGAAGTGTGCATTTCGACTCGGTCCCCATGCGGCTTCGGCTGCACGGATGACTTGAGTCGGAGACTATCCCGACACGTCAAGCGTCGTGGACAGAAAGGCTGCTGACTGACGCCCCCACTCGGTCCACTCAGGTCGTCGAGTTCTGTCTGTGTGTGTGTGTGTGTGTGTGTGTGTGTTATGTGGAGTGGTGGACTGATGGGCTGGGAGACGGGCCGAAACAATACCTTCCACGATCCTCTCACGCAAGTGAGAGAGAAGCCGTTCATCCCCCGTTGTGTGAAATACTGGCGTGTGTGCGTGTGTGTGGGTGTGTGTGTATGGGGGACCAGGTCGTTTACGTGGCACACGTAGGCATGGTCCGTCGACTGTGCCAGCCACCGCGCCCATTCCCCACTCCAGTCTGCCGAACGGCCCGGACACTGGCTGGGGCGTGGGAGTGGGAAGGGAAAGAGAGTTCGATGACTCAGCGCACTTTCCTCCTCACTATAAACAATCTGAGACGCTTGAAGTTATCACGGTGCGCTAAAAGTCGTAGCTTGGAAGATTGCCAACTGACGGGATAAATTGGACCTCTTCCTGGACTAGAGGTGGTCTGAGAGTCAGACTGCAATGGCTCCTTCCTAATGTGACCTTTATGGCACTCCCACTACAATTTGCCATCCGAGCCAGGCGTTGGCGCACGCCTAGGTGCGGCTGCTTCAGCCGTGCCAGCCTCCAATCTCTGTTGTGATGGTCAACTCCTCGTTATTTGTTGTATGGACCAGGGAGAGTGGTGGAACGCCAAGATGAGAAACCGTCCGAGAAATCCACCTGCGGCCTCCTTCGTCAGCGGTATTATTGAGTCTGTCTTGATCCGGACTCTGGCGTGGGAGGAGGAGGAGGTGGTGGAGGAGGAGGAGGGG